GTGGCGGGTCCCGGGATCGGTGGTTGCGGGGTTTGGGGGCTGCAGTTTCGGCTTCTCTCCCGGCGTGTGTGACAGCGGGCTGGCTTGTCAGCGGCGGGCTGGGGCGTGCGGGTGAAAAAGTAACGGGTGTCGCTTCCCAGGCCTGTCACAGGCAAGGCTTCGGTAAGACACACGGAGAAAATCTTGCTGGAGTTGTCCTTAGTTACCCCTCTTTTCACTACTGTGCCTTGTCGGCTCGGGGAGCGGGCTGAGGAGTGTTTTTTTTACTATATGCGGCGTTTTTTACTGTATACATGTATAGTAAGTGCAGTTATGGCAATAGGGAGCGCTTGGCTGGGAGGACTTGGTAGTATTTCCATATTAGTAACGTATTTCCAACACGTGGAAAGCTTTGCTCTAAAAATATTTACCGTGTTTGTGCATTCGAGACTCGTGTCAGAGATTTAAAATGTAGCTGAATCGGTAATAGGAGCCCGAGATGAGGTTTTCTTAGGGAGACATGCATGCTTCTCCCGGTACAAAACATTGTCTCAAGAGAATGGAGAATGACACAAAAAAAAAAATCACATCTGTGAAAATCGCTTTTTTTTGCGAATGGACAGTGAGAGAGGAGGGTGGGGGGAGGCCGTGGTTGCCCATGACAGTGGAAAAATACTGTGTCTGAGCACGTTTCCCTTGGCCGTCTCCTGGAGTAAAACTGAAAGTGAGCTGGCTTCTGGCTTTCAGGTTTAGGGCTGGAACTCCTCTGGCACCCCCCTGAAATCATCTGAATTCTCAAAATTCATGTTGGATTTGTCCAAACTTGTCACTAAAGACTAGAATTGAATCCTCTCGATTAGACTAGAAGCTTCTTGATCACTCCTTTTTGCTGATGTTTATATGTGTGTTTGTGGAAATTATTTCAGTTGTCACAGGTTTGACTTGAATGGCTGTTATTGAAACACATTTATGAAAGATAAGGATGACTAGGTGCTACTCCTCAAGAAGCAGAGAAGCTTTTCATATATTCAGTGGCTAAAGAGGATGTTTTCAGTGCAGTGAAAATAAGATCAGAAATGCTAATGAAGCTTGTTCAAAACCAGTCTTTTTGCTGTCTAATGAGCAGATTATTTCACACTTAAAAGCAATGGTGACAATCTCAGAGTCTGTCCCAGGAAAGTTAAGTATTTTATTCATGTTTTGATAAAGATCTTAAGCCCCAAACCAAACGATTGTCCATGTGTTTAGAGGAGGTCTGCCCCAATTTGCCCGGATTATTGTTTTGTAAATCGTATTTCAACTAATTTATATTGTTCTTTGCTCCACTTCTGCCCATTTCTGAAATAGCTTCTCCCCAGTCCTTGCACAGTAAGCACATTTTTTTTCTGTCTGCAATGTTATGCATGCAGACTGACTTTATAAGCTTGTCAGTTTATTTGTGTTTATTGGGAGTTGAGAAGCCCTCTAGGGAACTGTAGTTTGACATAACGTCAGCTCTGTTGATCAAAATATATTTGTCTCTTAAAAAATATGTATTGAAAGTTACTGGTTGCATTTGACTCTCAGAATCCCTGTGGAAGATGCCTGCCACGCTGAACTTTGGTAGTGTGCCATATAAGGGCTCTGACCCGGCTGCTTTAAAGACAGAGGCCGCATCTCTGTGGAACTCTCTACATCATCTGTGAACACTGTGAAAAGGAAAACGTTAACTAGCATGCTTTTATGGTTTCTAGAAAACTTGCTTTTTGAGTCGGTATAACTGCCTCTGGCCTGCGATCTTAAGATAAGATATCAGCAAGCTGTAAATGGTAACCTGTAAAGCTTTTTATTTGATCTTTAATCAAGTTGGATGCTTAAGATAATATAAAGCTTCATTAGTTCAGTTCACTTTCCTGTGGAAGGTAGCAATGGTTACGCTTGCAGTTTGCACAGTGAAGCTGGTTGGGTTGGGAAGCTATCCCCATAGACTTAGCATCGTGCAGCTTCATTTTAGATATGGAACGATCCACACTAAATGTGTACTATAGGGAAATTCTGTTATGGTTCCACATAAACTCACTGAAGGTGTGTGAAACATGTTTGTAGTATAGTGGTAGCAAAATACCTGTTTCTAATGTTTGCCACTTCTAAAATATGGCAGAAAAAAATTAAGTTTAATACAATATTACATAAAAGTTGATGTAATATGGTATGGGAACAGATTATGTATTGAGAAGCTTTGAGGTTCTTAAAACTGTTCTTTAATCTACTGATTCTAGCTATTGAGCTTTATTTGCTTGTTTGAGAGGTCAAGAGGAGGAACAATTTTTATAATTTGATGAAGAAAATGTTTGTCCAGTGGTCTGTTAAGTGAACAGGATACCTTATTCAGAATAAATTTTTCCATGGGTTATTTCTTTAAACTTGGATTTGCATACAGAATAAATAATTTTGGTGTAAATGCATGATATTTAATATATTATAAATAAATGCAATATATTTAATATATTAAAACAAAAAAAAAGTACCCTCTCCTTTTATTGAAAATATTTTTAAAGATTTTTCAAACAACTTTTTAAAGTATTTGTCCCGATGATGTACCTTTCCATAAAATATAGCTGGCTTTACAGAGGAAGTCCTGAAACCCTGTAAATTAGGTGTAAAAATTTGACTTGTCTATTATGTAGTTCGTGGGTCACTTGTGGCCCACAGGTTGGTTGGTCTTTTGGCAGATGGGTGTAGAGACAGTGTATATGATTTAGCAGCGGGGCTGGGTGTTTCCTGGAGGATTGTTACCCAACTAGAATAAATGCCACCTGGATTGCCCTCCAGTTAGAGGGGCTGTGGGGACTGACCAGGCATGTTGGATATTGTGACGGCTTTCTTGGTCCCTGCCAAGTAGCAGACAGTACCCTTCAGCCACCAGACCTGAGGCATCAGGGCCCATGGGGTTGTGTAGTCAGGGGAGAAGAGGAAAGGAAGGAAGGAAGAGGCAGAGTGAACTGCAGTGTGAATGGGAGAGGAGGATCAGGTTGAATGAGGGATGTTGCCAGTGGCCCACAACAGTCACAGTGCCCATGGCACAGTGGTCTTGTGGCCCACTTACTTGTGCACTCCTCCTGTAAAGCTGAAAGCTGGAGTCTGAATTGGCTTAAAAGCTTGGGTTGCACTTTTGGTTTTACTTCTGATGTCTTCCTGCTTAATGGTTCAGACCTTTACCCCTTTTTTTCCTCATGGGGAAAACAAAATGATAGAGACCCGTCATGTAAGGCAGAAGGGTCATATTCAAATTTAGGCTGGGGATAATTTAAGAATGAATTATTAAATCAGATCCTTGCTATACAGATTTACTTTTCTTTCCTGTCTCTTTCAGTTCCTTGATGACTTAAACAGATGGAGTCTGCTTCTCATTTCTCCTTTTATTTACCCTGATAAGTTACTTAAAGCAGAACATATAGCTTTTGTGACAGAAAGCATTTCAGCTCAGACAGATAACTTGCAGAAAGTACCTGGCTCTTCAAAAGAGGTAAGTAGTTCTCTTTGTTTCTTCCATAGAAAGTAGTATGGATGGGTATAAACCTAAAATGCTTGAAGGAAAGAAAATCAATGGCAGATAGATTTTTATTTTTTTTTTTAATTATTTTTTTTTTAATGTTTATACTGTTAATTGGAATAAAAAAGGTAATATTTTCATTAAAATGAATCACTGTTAATAGTCTAGTTCTGTTTTATGCTTCAAATAAACCCATGGACATCTTACTGAGATTTTTTTTTTAGAAGCACACATCTGGCTGTGGATGGGAACTGCAGAATACCTTTGTGGCTTTGGATAAGGCATGTATGGTTAGATATACTGAATAGGAAAAAAATGCTTGAGAGCTGTCATACTAAGGCAGATCAGAAATATGTTTAGCTCAGTATCCTGTCTCTGATACTAGCTGAAACACATGCCTCAGAATACACAAAGTAAACGTATGTTAAGATTTCTAAAAAGTTCTTCAAGCCTCCAGCCAAGTGGTTGTCAAAAGTTGTAATTGAAATAGAAGTTTCTCTTGGATGCTTCCTTTCCTTGTGATTTATAAGTACAAGTTAAAGTATTATACGTTTGAATAATTTTGTCAGTCTGCAGAACTAAGGCCAAAGTCAAGCTTATAATCTCTTTGATTTTCTGTAACATGCAATGGGAATATGGCAATACTTCTTGGTTAGAATTTTATAAATTGTGTTTGCCTTTTAATGCTTAATACTTGCAAAATGTTTTTGAGAAATCCAAAGATATAAATTAAACTAGTACTGAAATCCTTATGGCAAGCATACTTACAAAATGTTCATGCCCTAGATACTTAGGAATCTAAAAAGTGCCTTCTCCACTACTGTATTGAAAATGTGAAGATACGGATTTAAAAGATGATGTTCTAAAGCTTTAGATATTGAATATATAGCATCTCTAAGCAGATGATGCATAAAAATAATATCTAGACCCTATCAAAACTTACTATGAACTTGAGAGAATGTCTCTCTTCCCTAAATTTTCTTGATTTTATAACTTTTTTTGTCACATGAGGGATACTTGCTGCCTAGACATCTCAGCTTGGGTGCAGATCTGAAGGGGGAGAAAGGTTGCAACCCAAAGCAAAGAGAAACTTACCTTGCAGGGATGAAAATTCTTCTAAGCCATACAGATTGTCATAGTTCCTTCTTAAGGCAGTCAGTTGTTGTGTGTGCTGTATGCTCTCCATAGTGAAGAGGACAGAATGGACCTCACTGCCTACTGGAAAGAGGAGAAATGGAAAGACACACATGCTTGGGTATCTCTGGGTAGGCAGTAATAAAACATCTGGCCTGGTCGCTGGGGTACCATAAAATTGACAGAGCCCTACCATTAAAGAGGCTATGCCACAAGCTAGGATCACCACCTGGGGCCAGTTGATAACGTGTCCTCCTGAATGGCCCCTGTGTAGCACCCTAAAGGGCCATCTGTCATCCTTGCTTTTTGGCATCAGATTTCAAGCTCCTTTTTGGAGTTTAAGGAAACCTGTCACATACACAGGTGCTTGCGGCCTGTTCGTTTCCCTGGATGAGGAACATATATTTTCCAGGCCACTTATTCTGGGAGATGATCCAGGAGTCCTCTGCTGGAGTGAACATTAAGAGCAAAGTGGTTGGTAAATAGACTTATCTAACCTGAGTGCAGGAACAGGAGGACAGATTGGGAATGGGCACAATTCCAGACTTGTGCCTGCAATCAAATGTGTAGTGCCTTTGCCTTCCATGGAGGCCTCTCAATTCTAGAACAGAGCATACTTTTGGAGCATGTTAATCTTTGCCCTCTGGAGGAATGATGTCCAGGTGAAGTGCTGAATCAGGCAAAATCATTAGGTCCATGGAGTTCAGAGTGTGAGGACTGGAGGCACTGAAAGCTTGTTGAGAACTCAGACTTTTTCTGCTGAAGTCTTCTGACCCTGTTTCCATTGGCTTCATGTTTCCTTTGAGCACCCAGGAAGTAGCTACATTAGCTGGTTTCTAATTTTTTTTTTGTTGCCTTCAATATAATACTCTGAAATCTGCTTTGTCTCCCAGTATTTGGAACAAATTACATGGCAAAGGCTAATTTATTTTTTTAGGTCATGAAAACAGATGGTGCTTCCTTGTTTCTAAAAATGCCCTCATAGGAGAACAATTGGTTTGTGTATCCTATAAAGAATAAAGGCTGTGGTATCATTCACACGATTATTACTGAAATTGCATGCCATGGTTGGTTTTTGTTTTCAGAATTTACTCTTAAATCACTGTGTTTATCAATTGTCTGCTTATTGTTTTGTTAAGTACATTTGTTTTATAAACATAAGGTTTAAAAGTGGTCCTGTTCAGTTATGAGTCAGTATATGGTTTTGTAGTCTTTATTCATGTGCCTGCCTTTCAGAAGGAAACCAAAACTTTCTTCACTTTTTTTCCACCTTATGGCTTTCATAGTTAAACTTGAAACTTGTTCTTCAAGATGATAGTTCTGTGTAGTTTGGCTTTAAAAAACTGTCTTGAAGAAAACAAAACCAACTGCATCACTTTCATAATGTTTCCTTTCTGGAAAATGGAATTTTTGATGTAAATAAGCAGCTTGAATCTTCCATGTTTAGTTAATGTTTCTGGTAGTAACTGTGTGCTTTTATTATACCCTAGTTGTTTACTTCTGCTTCTTTTACCAGCATTCAGTTTAGAATTTGTACTAAAATACATGTCTTGGAAATAAAGAAAAATGGAGTTTTATTTATAGAATGTGATAATGCTCTCCTGCCATTTTGTGTGTTACTTGAAGCTTTTGTAGCCTTCATGTTTGGGAAATATGTATTTCTACTCTCAATTTGCTTTCATCAATCAGTGTGGTTGATGTTTTGTTTACCTCTCTCAGGACTGAATCTTGTTGCAGTTATTGCTTGCTACATCACCCTTCCTCAGTAGGTTTTTTTTGGTTGTATTCAGTCTCATACATTGACCTTTGTAGTCATAAAGGGTGCACTTTTGTGTGAAAGGAGCTGTCAACTGGAAATCTTCTCTAGCTGAGATGTGTTGCCTCATGATACTCTTAATGTAGTAAACACATCAGGCATCACAGAAACAAGCCTTAACAGTGATTCTGCCAATTTAGTGTTTTATGATCCCAATAACTACACACTATTTTATTATTTTTTTTTCTAAGTACTTTCTTTAACGTTACTTCCAGTCCTTGGCTTTGCCAGTTGTCCCATTTTGGTTTGATACTCTCCTTCTGTTGGCTCTTCCTACTGTTTTGCTACTTTTTAATAGCAAAATCCTTCGGGAAGGAAGGGCAGTTTTATTTGCAGTTCTTGCAATTCATAATACTGTTGGTATTTTGATATTTTTCTGTAAGCTTTTCAAACTGAAAGACATGCGTATGCTTTATTCTAGATTGTGAAGTGGTCAGACTATTGTTCACCATTGGCCTATAAACCTGGTGAGCCTTATAAGTTAATTGCTGAAGCAAGCATAGATAATTTTAGTAGCCTTGGAATAGCATTTATGGAAGACAGGCTTCAAATGGATAATGGAATGGTGCCACACAAGATTGTTTGTAAGTATCTTCACAAATTGTGTTTAATGGTAGAACATGGTTTTTTATAGTTATTTTAGGACTGTGCATATTGTCTTATAACTATGTAAAAACCCATGCTTTTATTTTGGCACGATGTTTTCTTCTTGCTGTCATTCTAGGTTTTTTCAGATTTTAAATGAAAGTGTATTCAATGCTAAACATAGGTTGAGAACAATTGCTGTTACTTGAGCATCTTAATCCTTTAGGTTACTGAGAGAAGAGCTCATAGATGCCTTCGAAACAGGGAGAAGGATAATCAGGGGAAGGAGGGTGATGTCATTGCTAGTTGAATTTTGAGTTTGTGGTGGAGGGTTTATTTCTTTATGGGGTGATATTAATGATATCAGAATTACGAACTATTGTGTCCTCATTAATTTAATAGTTGAAACTAAGGCAGGAAGGTTCACAGCTAATCCTACAGAGAGAAGGAAGTAGTCGTGATTGCACTTATAATACCATTCTTAAATAGAATTGTTTGCGCTGTGGAAATTCCAAGCTTCATCTCCTTTTCCTGCATGAGATTTGAACTTCTTTTTTTCCAGCACTATTCTAAAAGGGCCATAATATGCAGTCTGTAGGGTACTGTAGAGTAGTGGGGTCTTGGGGAAGTAGAGCCACACTTTTGAGTGTGTGTGTTCATCAACAGTCTCATTTCTTCCTGCCTATCTGCATCTTCTAAGCTATGTTGATAAAACTGGGGGGTCACCTAGAATAATAAAATAATCATTTGGCCTACAAAAAAATTCCTCCCTGTCTTTCTCCCTCCCCCGCACCAAAAAAAAGGGGTTAATTTTTTTGTTTGTTTTGGCTTGTTTGTGTTTGGTGGCGGGTTTTTTCTTCATTTATTTGGTCTTTTATGTAAGTCATAAGTGTATTCACAGAAGCCAGGGAATGGCAAAATGGAGTACAGTTAGCTAGGGTGCAAAAGGGTAGGAATATGCTCACAAATTTGTCTGATGTGAAATTCTGTCCCTTGGTGCTGTTCTGCAAAAATATTTACACAAGAAGGGGATGCAAGCTTGGAGAGTGCCCTGAGAGTGATTTACTTTTCAGAATGTTTTCTGGCTCATTTTGCTTCAGGTAGTGTGTGCATGCTAAAACTGCTCAGGAGAACAGGCTGATGGAGGCTGTTGATGGAATAGCATATAGACTGGTAGCTGTGAAGTTATGTTAGGATGTCAAAAAAATTTCTGCTTGAAATTTCTGCTCCAAAGGCAAAGGGGATGTAGTTTCAAGGGAATGCAAGTGTTGTTGAGTGAAGAAAGGGGCTGAACTTGCATCTGGTGTATTGTGTACCAGTTGACTATTTTGTTAATCAAGCTTCTCACTGAATTTCTTTGAGAAATGAGAAACAAAAACATAGTAAGTTTATTTTGCCTTGTGGAAGTGGAGAGAGATTCAGTAAAATTTTGCAGGCTTTGATTTGAAATATTTTCATGGCTCAGCAGCTGAAAAAAAATTACTTTGAGTATTTTTTTATCTCCTTTCTTATTTAGTTTGCTCTGCAAGTTTCATGCTGACAATTATCTTCTTTGCTCTTCTTTTCTCTCTTGTAGTTGCCAAAATATTTTTATCTTTGCGTTTCCATTCTTTTCAGGGGAAGAAACAGGAAGGTTTAACAATTCTTCCTATTTGCTGCTTTTCTCTTGGATTGTTAGCTCCCAAGTGTTGCTACAAATGGGTATTTCTGTGGACTGGAAGCAGTTCAGATTTTTTTTTACTCCCTCTAACTTGTGCCAAACTTTTATCTGCAGGATTCAGCAATGCAAGAGATATGGTTCAATGTCTCCATCTTACCCAATATCATCACTTTATTAGCTTATTTCAAAATAGTTTGTTGCAAAATAGCAGCAAGCAATTTTCCACCTTGCCCTCCTTAAGAGACCAGTATTTTTCCAAAGGTCCTTCCCTTGCTTCATTTTGTCCTTTTCTGGGGACAGAAAGACAAGCAAAATAAGCTGACATGGTGATGCATTTATAAGAACTTTCTCACCTTCTCATCCGTAGACTACTGTTCTGTTAAGAACATACCTGCATTATGTACAGTACCTGTCATGTTTTACTTTTGTGGAAATAACTTTTGCACTCACAATAAATGTTAGTTTGTTTAAATGTGCCCCGTAAACATCGAATGTGCTCTCAGTCAAACTTTCCTGAAGCAGAGAATCATTAGAGTAAATTACTTGTGTTATGAGTGCAAATTTATTATGAGTTTGTGGTTTGAGTTGGTGTGTCAAACACATTCTTAAATTCTTGTTATTATAGATGTTTTATACTGAAATTTAATCGGAATCCCACTATGATAGTGATATTTGTATCTTTTTCAATACTGCTTCGATAACCCCTTTTTTCTTGTTCTTTAACTATTCCAGCTGTCCATTTACAGGAATCTACCCTGAAGGAATTGGCACAGGTGGCACCATCTGTAAAAGAGCAAAGTGTAAGCAGTAAGAAAATGGATGAAATAACTCCTACTGCTACTTTTGGGACTACTGCTAAATCAGGTTTAGGAGTAGCTAAGCCTGCAGGACAAGATGAAGGGGAGAAACTCAAGCTAGAGAAAGAAAATGAGCATGAAGATGAATCCAACAGTCTATCTGACAAGGAGATAGGTTCTGGAGATCATCATCACTTGCATCTTTCCAGTTGTCGTGAGTGCTTGCAACTTGAAAACAGTACTATTGAATCGGTCAGATTTGCCTCTGCAGAAAACATTCCAGAACTTTCTGATGATAGCAAACTGGAAGCGAAGAATGATGACTCTCTAGCAAGAGGAATAAAGGGAGTAAACCTTACTGGGAAGCCCCCTAATATATTGATTTATCTTGGTTCTGAAACGGCAAAAGCGGAATTTGAGCAGGTAAAATCAATCCTTCAGGAATGCATTGATGTAGACAGCTACACCATCTACCAGCTCCGTGAGGAACAAGTTCTGAAAGATCCATGGATTGATAATTCACTGCTGTTGATCATTGCCACAGAGGAGCCTATTTCTGAGGAGAACCACAAACAATTTATGAAGTTTTTATCTACAGGTGGAAAGATTCTAGGGTTTTCTTCATCTTTTACATTTGACGGCATACAAATAAAGAAAAAGAACAAACTGAAGAAGACTGTTCGTGAACTAGTGGTCTCTAAAGCAGACAGCACTGAAATAAAGTTAAATCTTTTGGTCAGTGGCTGTATTTTTGAGGAAGTGATGAAGGAAGATACCAGCAAAGTGAAGACATTGAGTCGATTAAATAATGCTGATAAAGATATAGTTATTGTTCATCTGACTTACGGAGACAGTGGAGGAGAAGCCATTCTTTCTCAGGTACTGTGTATGCAGAAGCATTAATTTTCTCCTTGCTACATGATGTTGTGGTATGCTAAAAAATTTCACTTGTTCCCATTGCTTGCTCTTCGGCATGCTTGTCAAGGGGAGGTATAGATTGATGTCTGGGTACAAGGATTCCAAATGCAGAAAGATTTTCCCTTGATCCTCAAAAAGCTTAAGGAATGGTAGAGAACTGTCACTGCAGTTCCACTTGTGTGTTTTCACCGTGTAGGCATGCACATGTATATCACACAAAATTACAGTGAGTGGTAGAGAGCAGACTTGCATAGTAAGCAAGCGTCTTCAAGAGCAGAGCTATCCTTTTCTGCCTGCTACAAGTTTTGTGGTGATGCAACTGTGCATTTTGCAGATTTTGGGAGGTGGGAACAGGAAGACCAGAGTTGTTGGTGGACTCAAGGTGAAAGCTTATAATGACAAGATAAGAAAGAGACATCTTTACTAAAATATGAACTATAGTGGAACAGAGTCAGGAGAGGATGTAAAATAAACCTTGCAAGAAACCTGAAAGACGTCTTTTAAGGTTTAAGATTAAGGTAGTCAGCACTTTTAGAAATCTGACTATTGAATGAGAGTCCCAGCCTCTATTACTTGTTGCATGTGTTGTCTAGGAAAAGTTGCTATACAATTGTTGCTCGAGCGAGTTACTGCACAATAAAGGTTAGTCTCTGACTGCATTGAAGTGCTGTTGTTGATTTAGGTCTGTTGGTTCTTTTTTTGCTAGTACCACTACTGTTTCCTCAGTTATATGCTGTTTGTTTCTTAGTGTTGTGAATGAAGCAAACCATTTCATGGTTTCTTTAGCAGTGTTTTGATTAAGGCTAATTTCTGGATGGCTGTTAGGTTCATGATGTTGGCCTTGCTGTTCTGTCATTTAGAAAAGCCTTTATTCAACTGGAATGCATTTTTTTTTCTACTTACAATCAAAATTAAAATTTAAAAACTTGGTTTTTTGTTTTCTAAAAGTTAACATGTTTTCAGTCAGTAATATACACTCCTAATTGGTTTTTTTTGGGGGGGGGGGAGGAGGTGGGCAGGGAGATAATCTGGTCTCCTGGAAACTTGCTTTTGTTTACCGATTCTTCCCTCATGCTTTAACCTTTTAAGTGTTTAACATTCTGCACCTAACAACTAGCTCAGAGCACCTGAGGGACAGAAGTGGGGGAGTATAGAATGAGTCAAAATCTTATTAATTCCACTTAATAATAATAATATCCTAGCAAATATGTACCTCTCCAGTGTTATAATATTGTGGTCTTTGTTTAATAAAAGCCAAAACCCAACAACCAAACAAAGCCCACACTCCCTCAAAAAGTTGGATAACAGTTAAGTTTGAGTGTTCATAATCTTTTTTTATTATTGTTACTCTCTGTTGTCTTGGGTAATGGGTGGGGAAGCTTCCATGAGTCTGTTAAGGTAAATTTTGGAGCTGATTATTTATATATTCACAGGTATCTGGCTAAGAGATACCATTAAGTTTATAAATTAAGTCTGTGCCCTAGAAGTATGTGTGTACCTAGGTGTATAACCTGGGCAATTAAGTCTAGAGAGACTTTAGCCATTTCTTAGTAAATCTTTTATAGTGAACCTGAAGGCAATGTACACATTTTGAGTTAGCCTCGGTAGGAGTAGAGGTAAACATTATGTTTTTTAGCATGGCTTCCACAATTATATTGCTTCCCTTATTCTGTCTGCTTTCAAGCAGCACATGAAGAAAGGCAGAGGAATATTTATTTACCAGTATTTAAGAAGGTGAGGAATATAATGGAGACACAGCTGAACAAACTTTATGAAAGATTCTAGGATCTATTTTTACCAATATTTTAGTTATAGGAGAACTTTCTCGGAAGCCCAGAGCACTCAGATTTAACCGCAGGTAGCATATACTCCTCTAGCAATTACATAATTCAGAAATATTCATCAGGTTTCTTAGAAGTGTTTTCCTCTCTTAAATTTATTGGATTGAATCGTCTAGCTTTTTGGAAACTTTTATACATAGTAGCATATTTATAGCTTTCTGTATAGCTTTGCCACCCGTGTGTTGTATGCTTGTACTAGAAAATTGATTAGATACTGTTGCTCTCCATTTCTGCAAGTTCCATGGTAAAACCTGCTTTGCTGTACCATTTAAATTCACACTTCTGCTGCAGTAAAACTTAATACTGCAGAGGTTTTCCCCAGAAAAAAGGCATTACAGTATAGCTTCAAAAGTCAGATTAAAAGGATTAGTGTGTCATTTTATAATTTTAAATGACTTCCAGTCTGGATTTGAAAAGTCTTATTGTTTTCTCCTTAGGGGACTGACGATGACATCAGCCATTAAATATTCTGTCACTGACTTGTTGTTTCCCTTTTTTCTGTACTCTTCTGTTTCTCCCCCTCGCCTTTTCAGTGTATTTCCTTGAATTTCAATAGTCAAACCTACATGAAAGATGAAGAACATCATTAAAATGTGCAAAATTGGAGAAATGAACAAAGATAATAGCTTGTGATTTTCATCACAATATGAATGTGCACATAGTAGCATACAAAGGCTTCTAAATATCTTGGAACATTTATATGAAAACCAAAACAAACAAAAAGCCACAAAAAACCCCACAAGACAAATGAAGAGGTCTAGAAGGGATTTTTTTTTTTCCTTCTGCACTGCATTTCTGCTTTTAAGCATCTGCTTCAGCCCTGAGAAGTGATTCTCTACAAAGTAGTATTCTAGGGTTCTTAGTTCTCTTTCAGACAGAAGCATTTATGTATCTACACTGATTACAACTTCGTTCATGTGACACAGTAGGGATTTGCTCAGCCTGTGTTCTACATATCTTATGCAACCTCTGATAAAGCTCTTCCATTGTTAATGTAGTTCTGCTCTTATACAAGCCAGAAATTGACCAATATTGCTGTTGGTTCTAGGTTGCTAGCAGACATGAAAAGCAGAAGGAGAAGTTTAACTTAATGAATAGAAGTTTGACCAAGTTCTCCAGGAGAAGACCAATTTATTAAGAACGGATATTTTGCATAGATTTTAGAGAAAATTGTAGTTTAGTGGCAACTGCGATCCCTGAATCAGAAACTATAAACATATAGGTATTCCCCAGTTAATTAGCATGATAAAGTCCTACTTGTATATATGATGAAGACATGAGAAACTCTTAAACTGTACTTATAACACTGGATAGTTCAGCAACCACAGTTAGGACAAAGCTACTTTTGGAACTGTTGTGCTTATCTCTCTCTCCCATGCTAAAACATGTAATAATTTTTTTCTTATTCCTTTTGCACATATCCTTCCAGGCACACTTGGAATTGGATATCAATTCTATGGATGTCCAAACTGAAGAGGATTTTAATTTGCTTAAGATAAGCAATACCAAGAGATATGAAGTTCTCAAGGAGATCCTGGTATCACTTGGCCTGAGTTGTGAATTAAGTGAAATTCCTACGTTAACACCTATTTACCTTCTCTCTTCTGATGAGGTAAGGCTTCTGCTTACATTTCAGATGACTGAAATTTACCTTAAAAGACAAAGTCAGTGTTAACTCAAATACATCTTGTCTCTTATGTGGCATTTTTTTGTTTGGAGAGGCTTACCCATGTATTACAGGTAAGCAAAAACTTTAATTTCTACTCTGTCCCTATTTTATTACCTGCTAGTAGTAGTTTTAAATTCAAGCATGGGGAAATTGTACAAGATTAACTTTTAAAATATATTTGCTGTATTTCTGTTAAGAACTTTTGTGCTTGTTTGCATGCTTCTGCACTATTAAAACACAAGGCTGTGGTAAGCTACAGAAAGAACTGATTTAAAATACAGGATTTGCTTTTATTTTAAAATGAGGTAGAAAGTTCTGTTTAGGCTGACAACAAATTATAGAGAATGGTGTGGCAAACCAAAACTGCAAGACCTCAGTGAATAGTCAAGAGTGTGTAATTCCACAATGAAGAGCTTTATTCCTGAGGATGTTGTAATATTTCCTGGACATGGAATAGCTTCTTGTAACTCAGTCGTCTGACTATTCTGGACTTCTAAATTTGAGACATTGCTATGGAGAAATGTGAAGAGCATATAAATCAGTAATTTTAGCTTTTTTTTTTCTTTAAACATGAGAACCATATTGTATTGATCTGAAGGGATGAAGCAGGAGGTGATAAAAAAAGCAATACAGGCCACTCAGACTCTTTGAGGTTGTTGTTTCCAACCCATATACCACTGTCACTACTTCTTCTTAGCGTGCTTGTCTGATTCCTGCCCCTATTCTATACCACCCTTACATTAGCACAGAAGTGAGATGTCTGTCTTTTAGGGGAACTCAAGTATAGAAGCTTGTCCTTGGATACCTGTTTCCAGCAGTATTATATATAGCATTCTTTTTGGGCTACAGGATCAATAAGTGAACAAATTGACATGTTTCAGTTGAATGTTTTTAAGTAACTTGGATGATATTTTAGATTTAGATTGTACTTTTCAGAACACTGTGCATTAATCTGGAAGGTGGGTGTGGTAAGCACTGTACACTTTATAAAGTGGAAATTTGTGGTACATGGCATTGTATGGCAGGCAGATTGGTAGCAGATCCTGGCAAACTGACTGAAATACTATTAGTAGGTGTATCTATAAAATCAAATCTGCATTCGTTTTCCATGTCTCTGGAGATAGTGCCAAAACTGCTGGTGCATTGAGTAATGCCCTCATATAGCAACTTGGGTTGGATGTAGCAATTGATAAAAATTGGGCAAAATGCAGAGGTTTGTTTTTTTTTTTTTAATTCCCTGAGATTGATTGCCCTTTTCTGTGTGCCAAACACTGCCAGATCCATCTCCACTTCACCGTGGTGAAAAGACTATTGGAAGTCCTTCTATCCAGCTGTCTGCTTGAAGCAGGGCAGTTACTAACACTAAGTCAGGTCAGCCATGCCCTTTGGTTTAATCTTGAAAACCTCCAGGGGTGTGTGCTACAACCTGTCTGTATAACCTGTTCCAGTGCTGTTGTACCATTGTAGTGATTATTTTTTTTTTCATGATGTCCAGCCTGAGCCTCTCAAGCTGCAGTTTATGGCTGTTCATGGTTTATTATATTATCTGGCACTACTGAGAAGCATTTGGCTAAGTCACTCTTTTAACTCTCTTAAGTAGTTACAGATTGTTATTAAATCACCCCTTAGTCTTTTCTTTGCCAAACTGAATGAACCCAGCTTCCTCATCCTCTTCCTATAGATGTGTTGTACCTTTAACCCCTTTGTGGTTGCTTTCCAAGGAATCCTAGCTAGCAATTCCTTGCATAAGCTGAAATCTGCTTTCCCAAGACCAAACTCTGCTGCTTCCCGTCTCAGCCTTCCTGCACATCTTGGGTTCTGACAATTGCTACAGCCAATGCTGCTGTCGGTGACCAAATCTGAAACAAGTTCTTCCCTGTCTGTGAGCAGTAAATGCATAAGAGTTGATTATCTTTTTGTGTGACAGATGCAGAAACAAACCTAAAAGCCATTCAGCCCTGTTGACTAATACTAAATGTGCTCTATACAGAAGATCAGGAGCTTATTGAACTCTTCCGTATTTTGTTCTCTCCCTTCACTCTTTTTTTTGATAATTGTTTCTTTCCTATTGCAATTTTCAAACATACCATGAATTTAAAAAGTTAGCTAATTTCTGTCCAAACTTGCCATCTAGTGGCATATTACAGGTTGCAAGCCATTTATTAAATGTATTTTTGCAATGTATACTGTATACTTAAAGTTTATATCAAAATTAGTTTTTAAATGTTGTTTTTCCACAGTTTTTTTTCCAAATGATAGTTTTTCTATGCTTATATGTGTAGTCATTGTTTCAGTGTCTTTTGTTTTAGTCATTACATGCTTCCAGAACATTCTGTGAAAAGAAGTTGCAACTTAAGTGTAAAAACTACAGTTAACAATGAAGAGACAGTATATTAAAATAAATAAGGAATATGTAACAGTTGAGCTTTCTTACATGTTATTTTTCTCCATACATCATGTTCTACATAGGTGTTTTTGCTCCCTTAGAAAGTAAGATGATACCAAAAGTGTATCTGGCAGGTGAATTATTTGAGGAATTAATTAAACTTCTTTAAGATCAGAGTGACTGCTGGAAATGGAGATGGAGGAAAACTGTCTTGCAAGCTTTAGTACTCACTAACGTCCTTCTTTTTTTTGTCACTTTGTATGAATAGTTTGTCCAGTACAGGTCACTGGAGTATTCTTTTCCTGAGAGATACTTATTGACAGCAAGTGGTTTTTGGATTATTTTCTTATGCATCCCTGTAATAAGAAATGCCATAATGAGTCAACCGATGATCAAGCAAGTTCAATGTCTTATTAGCAGTTGCCAATAGTAAATATTTTGGCAAAAATGGAAGAATGGCAAATGGTCTCATCCTTGTTTCTAAATTTGGCATTTCACTGATGATTTTCCCCCACAAGCTGGAGGTTACATCTGTACCATTATGTTTAAAACCCACTGGTGGACCCAACCTTGTCAGATTTTTGTAATTAATTTTAGAAACTATTAGCTCCTTTTGCTTATGTGGAAGAAGAAATATTTGATTTTCTTCTGCATTTTCTACTCCTTTAAGAAAAAGTGTAGATTTTTTTTTTGGTCAGTTTTTAAATCTCTAAGTTTAAAGTGTTAGTATGTTTATTTTTTTCTTTCTGATCTGTAAGCTTCAATTTACAGTAGATATGTACCCTCTTCTGTGTGATTTCCATGTTGTTTCTCTATGCCATCCCTTTTCCTCCTTTATCATTTCAGAACTTTAATTATCTCTGTTTTCTACTACATTGTGGTAGAAAATAAAACTTGTTCAACTTTATTTTATGAATAAATATCTTCTCCTGTCTTTTCTGCCTGCCATTCCTGAACAGTCTATGTCTTTTTGCATCATTGTTGTCATGCCATTAATAATCTCATCAAATCTATTAGGCTGATTGGTATCAATTTGATTATTAAGACATTCAGATCTTCCTGTTTACTCTGTAGGTCTTGGAACATGCCTTTGTAATGTAATTTTTAGCTGCTTTGGGGCATGGAGATGGGCTTTTTTTTTTCCCCCTCCTCAAGATTCACATGTAGAAGTTTTGGTTTCCAGCGTTTATAGGGTTATCATGTATCTTAAAATCACAGTTTTACTACATGGATTTAAAAAAGCCAATAAAATATGAGCAGAACTGGCATTAGCTTTCTGAAAATCAGTGTAACTTTAGAATTTGGGTAGATAATTTCTTTAACTCCTTAAAAAAAACACAAACCAACATCTAATTCTGGGGAGAAGAGTTGAATTTTGAGTTTGTGTCCAATATTTCATATATATATTATCTATTACTTATTTTAAGTTTGTGTATAATAAAAACCTGGGGGCTATTTTGTGTGAAGAAATAAGCAAAGGTATAATTAACTTACACATAATTAAATTTGAATGTAGTGTCCTTTTCTTTGAAAAAGACTTGGAAAGGCGAATGTTAATACTTCATGAGGAATTTTGAGCTTTGTAATGCACTTTTTGCCTTTGGGTTACAATAAGAAAATTTTAGTTTTGGATGGAATGTAGGAGACTTGGGTAGAATTATTTAAACCTTGGCAGCAGTTATGTTGAAAATCACACAATTACATTTTATCACTCAAGAAAAATACATCAGGAACAGGATGGTAAAGCTTTTAAAAAAGAGACTGCATAGGGTTTAGCTGGACTAGATAAATGGACTGTTCTAAAACAGGTAGAGGTTTCCAGCTGTGCTGTATTCAAGTTGGAGATGGGATGTGTTGGAGGCTGTACTAAATAAGCACTGAATCTTGTTTACTTTTAACTGTTGGATATTATTCTAAACTGTGGAAATGAAATCACATTGTTACACCGTTGGGGTAACAGTACTTAGGTTAGTTCTCAGTAGAAAGTTAAAATTTTATATTGAGATGTCAAACTAAAAAATATGATTTATTATTTTTTTGCGTATGATGCAGTTTTCAAATAATGTTACTGCTGTGACTGATTCCCATGTCTCAGGGATTTTCAGTTTTACTCTTTTTTTTTTTTTTTTTTCCCCTGCTGTGTTTCTTTTGTTCACCTGGCTTTTTCTTAAAACGTCCACAGGCTCTACCAGTCTGAAATTTAAATTCTGGTAATATTACAGCTTTGAATTCAAATAAAAGCTTTAATATCTGTATAATATTTGATAATGTCCATCTGTTAAGAGATCTAGATTTTACCATGTAGAATTATGCTAGTTGATCCTCAGCTAGTGCTTGCTGTCGTTGGTGTTGAATGATTACTGTAACAGTGTGCACTTTTCATTCCTGATCTCCTTTCTTGTAAACAGAGTATAAGATAGGGGGCCTGGAAAGTAACAGCACTTAAGACAATTCTTTCATCACAAGACTTTTTACAGTAAGGCTTGAAAGTATGGTTTGCCTCAGATATACACATGTAGACATTTTAAAATTCAGTTAACTGGGAACCGTCGGTGTA